TCATGTCAAGGAAAATCCAAAGGAATTGCCTTTCAATTGAGTTATCAATAATCACACAAAACCAAAATACATTACTTCTCTTTGGATCTCTCCTCCTTTCAATTGTCAGAATTTTTTTTAATTAAAAAAAAAGTATGATCGAACAAAGGTAAGACGGACGGGACCGTGGTGAAGGGCGACTATTTAACTACCCATAGAAAAGTTACGATCCTCCCTCTAACATAAACATAAACAGATAAATTTGTCAAGTATGGTAAGTGAAGAACGAGATGACCCACAAAAAAAAAAATGCAAATTCTTCGATACACCATTTCACATCACAAGGTTTCTATCACTGTTTTGAGCTATAACAACTCAAACTCACCACTATCAAATATTGTGCGTTTTGATCCGTCCGTCAGTCTCACTGCTTTAAAACACGAAACAAACTTTACCTCTCTCCATGCAAAGAGGAACAAAGCTTCTCTCTCTCTCTTTCTCTCCACATGTAATCAAGTTAAGAATGATAGCCAAAAAAACAAAACCCAAAAGAACAACACTTTCAACCCACTCATCATTTACATCTCTTTTACAAACTCTTTAATTCAACATCTTCCCATCACTCTCTCTCTCTCTCTCTCTCTCTCTCTCTCTCCCAATCTCTCTCCCAATCTCCCTCCCCATGAAACTCCATGGCAACGAGGTGCTTCCCTCAGGGAAATCCTACACCCTCCACAAAATCCTAGCCATAGTCATCACTCTCGTCCTTCTCACAGTCATTCCCCTCATATACAATCTCATCAACTACTCTTTATTTCTCCACAACACCACCTCCCCCACCTCCCCTTCTTCTCCATACTCCAATGCCATTCAACAACAAGAAGAGTGCGACATTTTCACCGGCGAATGGGTCCCAAACCCCAACGCCCCTTACTACACAAGCTCCTCTTGTTGGGCCATTCACGAGCACCAAAACTGCATGAAATATGGAAGGCCCGACGGCGGCTTCATGCAATGGAGATGGAAGCCCGACGCCTGTGACCTCCCCATTTTCAACCCTTCCCAGTTTCTTGAGCTCATGAGAGACAAGTCCTTGGCTTTTGTTGGTGACTCCGTTGGAAGAAACCAAATGCAATCCTTGATTTGCCTTCTTTCACCCGTAAGTTCTTACCATCGATCAACGTTATAATGTTTTAACTAATTGAATTACAATTCGTTAATTGATTTTCTTTTTACTTTTTGATTGAAAGATTGTTTTTTTATGATTGTTTGAGTCTGATTTTTCCTTTCTTGAGATGGGTTTTTGGAATATATTCCATTTTCTGAAATATCTTTAATAATATGAGTTCTTGTCCCCAAAGGTCAATGATTAAAGGCCATAAATAATATAGTTGAAAATAAAAAAAAAATCAGTATATTAAATTAAAAAATGATGAATATTTATTTACAAAAAAAAAAAAATAAATAAATAAATTAGTCTTAATGGATTAATTGGAGTGATCTAATCCAGCTTTGGGAAAGCATCTTTTGGCCAAAAAGAATTGAAAAATTCACTTTTTGGGTTAAGATTAAAAAAAATTATATACAATTAAAAGTTAATTATTGGGTTTTGGAATCTAATTCCATTCCCAATGCCTCATCTTTCCCATACTTTCATAATTTTGGTATTATTTTATTTATTTATTTATTTATTTTACATTAAAATTAAAAAAAAATAAAATAAAATTATGGGCCATGGGAATCTTTAGCTCTTCGATGAAGCCAACAAGTTTGTGTTGTTTTATGTCATTTTGCTTTCCATACCCATTTCTTCTCTCTTTCATTTCCAATTATTTTTGTGGTTAATTTTATTAGGTTACGAGATTCGAATTCCTTAGGCTTACTTAATTTGTTGAATTATTTTCGATTACCCGTTATTTAGAAATAGAAAATATGAAATTAGTGAAGAATATTAATGTGGATTATTTTTTAAGATAATTAAAAGAAATTTTTATATGTTTTATTGATTTTTTTTTATTAAAAATAAAAAATAATTAAAAGGACTATTTGTGAACAAATTATTGAATTATTAAAAAGGAAAAAAACAAGGAATAGGAGCATTTGCCAGCTGTGACATTTTAACTAATAAAATACCTTTTCCCATTTTATTTAGCTTTAAATCTTATTTTATTTTAAAATATTCTATCTTACCTCTTGAATTCCATTTAAATTAATTTCTAATCTCTATTAAAATCAATTAACAAAATTTTTATCAGATAATTTAACCAAAAAACATTTTTTTTCTTTGCAGCATATATACATATATATGTATGTATGTATATATTTCTTTCTCTCTCTATAACATGTTTGCCGACAATGGTTTAATGTGTCAGACGAGATGTAGAATATAGTAAACATTTGACCAACAAAATTTTATAATAAAGTACATCCCATTTGTTCATACATTGTTTTCATTCTATTTTGTAACATTTTTAATGAAAAAGCATATGATATGATATGATACCTTTAAAAACTATATGTTATTCTCTTTAATTAAAAAATTACTTTTACCTTAGCGTCACATGATTTGGATCCAAGAAATTAAAAAATAAGTTATATAGTATAGTTTTAATTTGTTTAAAATATTAAAAAACAAAAATGGGATTACAGGTGGAATATCCGAAGGACGTGTCGTACACGTCGGATGAGAGTTTCAAGAGGTGGAAATACACTACCTACAATTTCACCATGGCCAGTTTCTGGACGCCTCATCTCATCAAAGCCGCCATGGGAGACTCTAACGGCCCCACCAAAACTGGCCTCTTCAATCTCTACTTGGACGAGTACGACCAGGAGTGGACCACTCAGATTGATGAGTTTGACTACATCATCATCTCCGGCGGCCACTGGTTCTTCCGCCCTATGGTTTTCTACGAGCGCCACCGCATCGTCGGCTGCCATTACTGCCTCCTTGAAAATGTCACCGATCTCGGGATGTACTACGGCTACCGGAAGGCCTTCCGAACGGCTTTCAAGGCCATAAACAGCCTGGAGAATTTTAAAGGAACGACGATTTTGAGAACCTTCGCGCCCTCGCATTTCGAGAACGGGCTATGGAATCAAGGCGGAAATTGCTTGAGGACGAGACCTTTCCGAAGCAACGAGACGCAATTGGAAGGTCATAATCTGGAGCTCTACATGATTCAGATGGAGGAATTCAAGATCGCGGAAAGGGAAGGGAGAAAACGAGGGCGGAAATTTAGGGTTCTTGATACGACGCAGGCTATGCTGCTGAGGCCGGACGGACATCCTAGCAGGTATGGGCATTTGGCGAGTGAAAATGTGACATTGTATAATGATTGTGTGCATTGGTGTTTGCCTGGCCCCATTGATGCTTGGAGTGATTTCTTGCTTGAGATGTTGAAGATGGAAGGGATTAGATCAGCCAGGGATGGGCTACAGTTTGGTTAGAAGGAGAAAGGAGTTTTTTCTTTATGATCATTTTCTTTCTTCTTAAAAAGGGTTTTACTTCTTAAATTCATGTTCTTGTTGTTCTTGTTGTTTTGTGATTTGTATATTTGTATCATTGTTGATTATTGAGATTTATGTATTTATAATTTGTGTCTAAAGTTGAATTAGACATGGTGAAAGAAGTCATAAAGAGCGCAAGTTAAGTACTTTTTTGTTTGTTTCGTTCATTGCTATCATTTATGATTAAGTCGACCAATTTAAACATATCTCTATTAGTTAAAGATAGATATCTACAATTAAGATTTGAATCTTCGTTCTCGAATATGTCGAGGAAAGTGAAAAGTAGTGTAATCTTATCAAGCTGTCAATTCTATAGATGGGAAATGAATGTGTGGATGGCCATCAACTAGTCTTTCACAATCCTATCTCTATCTCTATCCAGTCTAGATCACTTGAGAACAACCATTTTGAATTATTTTTCTCATTTAAAAAAGGTGGGATTACTGTCAAAGGTGAAAGGAAAATCCAACTGTACTGATAATAGACCCTACTTCTAGACCTTGTTGCCAAGAACATGAGAAGGATGACAACCCCTTGCATATAATAATCTAACCCAAATGCTTGTTTGTTTTGTCCAAGAAGATTCTATTCTTTCACAAGTTTTGTTAATTCAGACTTCAGTTCATTGACCTCCATTCCATCCGCCATTTGTTACCGCTAGCAGATATTTGTCTTCTTTGGACTTTCTCTTTCAGATTTTCTCTCAAGGTTCTTACAACACGTTTACTAGAGAAAGGTTTCGACATCCTTATAAAGAATGTTTTGTTCCCCTTTCCAACTGATGTGAGATCTTACAATCCACTCCTTTCAGGGTCCAACGTCTTCACTGACTTTATTCTCCTCTCCAACGGACGTGGGGTCTCACACATTAGTAGGTTCATTATTTGAAGGAAGAAGTTTCCAGTAAATCTCACAGGAAAATCTGCAGTTCTAAGTTAAGTTTTTATCACTCTTCTCCCAACATAATCATCAACAGCCTCTACCACTTGTAGACCACACAAAAACCGATGATACTGGATATGCTATGAGGGGGATGTAATATTCGGATAGGACAAGGTCAAGGACATGCCTTTGCGTCGGGGTTTTAAGACTGGTTTTATACATTTTTATATTAAGATTACTGATTTTGAATGGATAGTTTTTTCTGTGTTTCCCTGAAAGTAGCAGAGGAATAAAGCTGTAAGTTAAACTTGAAAACAATTTTTTTACCAGCTCCATGTGGTAGGTGCTCTGTTATCTGTAAAGCATGTTTCTTACAAGAATTTTTTGAGGATATATGACTGTAATCTGTATGAGTGTTGTACGATGTCGGTGGCCCAAATAAATTGTGACTTTCCACCTGTCCAACTTAGTTTTTAATAATGAAATATTATGCATTAACCAATAAAACCACACTTGTTTATTGATGGTGGTTTGGTAGGTAGTCGAAGCCAAAATAGAGGCATACTATTATATGAATGAATGCTTTCCAATAATTACCCAAAGTTTGCTTTTTACATGGACCTACACCCACCACAAAGAGAAAGAGAGAGAGGGAGGGAGTTATATGAATCAAAACACTTGGAATCTAAATTTCAGAGCTGTTCTCAACATGAAGCTTCATGTTTTTGAAGCTCCAATTGTAAACAAATCTGTGTTGTGGAATTCCCACAAAGGGATTCTGCTGGCTCTGACACTGCTCCTTGTTACCATCATTCCTCTGTCTACAAACAAAAACTTGCCTTCATCTCTGCCGAATCTCTGGAAGAACACCACCAACTTGAAGACAGTCGAATCAGAGAAGAAATGTGACGTGTTTCGTGGAAATTGGGTGCCCAAATCTGAGAGGCCATACTACACGAATGACACTTGTGACATGATGTTTGAGTATCAAAACTGCTTGAAGTATGGAAGACCTGACAGAGAGTTTTTGAAATGGAGGTGGAAGCCAGATGATTGTGAGCTTCCTCTCTTTGATTCTGCACAGTTCTTGGAAATTGTTAAAGGGAAATCTCTTGCTTTTGTTGGTGACTCTGTCGCTAGAAATCATATGCAGTCGCTCTTGTGTCTTCTCTCCAATGTAAGTTATATGTCAAGCTCAACAATCCATCATCTGTATAAACTTTCCCCTTTTTTAAATCTTCTTTTGCATATGTTGCAGGTATCTCATCCGGTAGATGTTTCTCCAAAATACAATCTAAGCTATGATTTCAAGAGATGGTTCTTTGCTGATTACAATTTCACAGTGGCAAGATTCTGGTCACCATATTTGGTTGAAAGCAGGGATGCAGACCAGAATGGTTTCTCCGCCAACAGCCTCATGAATCTATACTTGGATGAGGCAGACCCCTCCTGGAATTCCGCCGTCGAATCTTTCGACTACGTCGTCTTCTCAGCAGGACAGTGGTTCTTTCGCCCACAAGTATACTACGAAAATGGTCAAATAACAGGATGTTTCTATTGCCAGCAAAGTAACATCACACAGATTTTGAACTCCTATGGCTACGGGAAAGTCTTCCAAACTGTGTTTAGAACAATTATGGGTCTCAAAGGCTACAAAGGGGTGACATTTCTGAGGACATTTTCTCCATCACACTTCGAGAATGGCGATTGGGACAAAGGAGGGAATTGTGCAAGGACAGCTCCATTTACAAAGGAAGAGATGAAGTGGAAAAGTTTTGTGGTTGAGTTACACAAGGCTCAGGTGGAAGCATTCAAAGCAGCAGAGAAGGAAGGGATGAAGAGAGGCCTGGAATTCAAGCTGTTGGACACAACGGAAGCCATGCTGATGAGACCAGATGGGCATCCGAACCATTATTCTCCTCGTATGAATGTTAGTGTGGCTGACTGTGTGCACTGGTGTTTGCCAGGCCCCATTGACACATGGAATGAGTTCTTATTCCATATACTGAAAACTGGCAGGAAAGATACACATTAAGAAGAATGTATAGGGAAATGGATAGACGAGGTTTGTCAAGAATTATACTGTTTTTTTGTTTCTTCTGTAAGGAATACCGTAATATCAGTGCATTTGTCTCTATGAATTAGTTCAGATTGTTTAATGGGTGGCCATTGACTCCTGAAGTTATCTCCTCCTAATAAAATTGAAACCTTCCAAGGTTGAGAGAGATGTTTTGATCTGTATAAACTGCATTCTTGGGGAGTCAAGAGAGCATGAGTGGGCTGTTGTTCTGTTCTCAGATGTAGGGTTTGTGAGGGAGCTTGTGAACTGGACATAGCCTTCTTGAGGAAGAGGAGGAGTTGGGGAAGGAAGAAATGGATTATGGTGCTTTGGAGGACATCCAGAACTTCAAAGATTTTGATGTTGGAAACTCACTGATCAAACCAGTTATGGTGGGTTCACAGTAGAGGCAAAGAAGAAGCAAATATTAGCAGCAGTAGAGAGACTACAATCTGTTTAGGACGAGTTATTCAATGGGAACGGTGAGATCACCACTCATCGATTGGAGAGGAGAACGAAACATTCCTTATAAAGATATGAAACCTCTCCCTAAGGCGTTTTAAAAACTTGAACTAGGAGGAAGAGAAGCATTCCTTAGAAGAGTACGAAAATAGATGCTTTTTAAAACCTTATTCCAAAGAGAACAATGTCTACTAGTAGAGGGGAAGTTCAGAAGAGAAAGCCCAAACAAACGGATTTGGGCCGTTCAAAAGGGGAAGCCTAAAGAGACGAACTTCCCTTTTATTCCTAAATTAACTATTATAAAAAATCAACAATAACTAAAAAAAATATTTTATTCCTAAATAAACTTTATAGATTAGTAAATAATATCTACAAATTTAAATACTAAAATATAATAAATATACGAACGATTATGCAATTTTTTTTTCATAGTTAGTTATTGTTGTGACTAGGATTCGAATTCTCATCACGATCTATCCTCACTCACATGCATCTTAGAAAAATTCCTTAAAGGTCACCTAACATAAAATTGTTCAAGCAAAACACGCTAAATCATATAATATTTTTATGATTGAACCATACATATTGTTAGTATAAGTATGACTGTCATTTCTTTAAACATTTTTAGTCACTTTATTTTGAGGATCACTGTGTTATCAATTCATTCATGTACCTTTTCATTTATTCACCGTGTTTTATTATTATTATTATTATTATTATTTTAAGGTCTTTCTTTGATTAATATATTAAATGTTGGGTTGAAAACGTACAAGTTGTGAAAGTCTCCTCTTAACTTCAGAAATTGATTGAATTTCTTTCACTTTAAGCAATACATGAAACTCATCTCCATATTTTTCTTAAATTAAATATATATTTTTTGTAATATACAATTAGAAAATAAAATAAAAAAAAGACAATTTTATTTTTAAAAATGTTTTCTTTTATATTTTTGTTTGGTCTAATTTTAACATTTACCGATAGAAATCGTGCAATTAAAAAAAATGTTATAAAAGATTAAACTGAAATTTTGTAAATACAATAAAGATTAATTAATTAATAGTTATATACCCACTAATTTTGTTTGTTAAACAAACTATTATTGGTTATTAATATTTTTCTTAATATATTTTGAAAAAAATTGGAATAAGCATTTAATAATAATATATATTTTCAAGATCGGAGGCTTTTCAACTTTTGAAGGATATATAAAAATAATTGTCAACTTGCTTTTTGAATATTGAGAAAAACAAATGGCCTTTTGCATAATGTGGTTTGAACTCAATAATTTAATAGCAAATTTGTTCGGAAATATTCCAAAAATAATGTATATATAGAATATTAAAAATATTATTACATTTTACTTTAATATTAATATAAATATTAAATGCAAGATCTCACGTTAGAGAGGGGAACTAAACATTCCTCACTCGTTTTAAAACCTCAAGGGAAAGCCCAAAAGCCAAAAGATGACAATATCTATAAGTATTGAGTTTGAATGGTTACAGATGATATCAAAGTAGTCAGACATGACAGTGTGCCAACAATAATGCTAGGCCCCAAGTGAAATTGATTGTGAGATTCCACATTAGCCATCCCTCTAGCATTCTTAAAGGTGTGCCCACTAGTAGACGCGTTTTAAAATCTTAGCCAAGACCCTTTGTGAGGAGGCACCCCTTCTCCCGAAGTTATGGGGCTATTTTGCCGAGTTCCTTAGAGAGAATTGTCTCGCGCACCTAGGTATTCTCTACCTACCCACCTGTGTCGGTTTCGGGTACAGGTACCCTTTCGTTGAAGGTCGTTCGAGATTTTCCTAGGAGCATGACGTGGGTTACTTTAGCACTGTAGCGCCTGATACTCAAACATTGACCCAAGGTATTTTGTCTACCCTTTCTTATCCTGAAAAAAACAGGGGCACCTTGCGTCCTTGAACCGATAACCATCTTTCGACTAACCTAGCCTCCTCCGTCCTTCGGGATCGAAAAGCAAAGAGAGGACAACTTATTTATTTATTTTTATTGTTTCTAATACATTTGGGATAAACCAATAAATACTTTTGCATTACTTGCAATCTTCCATCTCCTTTGCGATCTTCCAACTTCACTTCTAAGCCAAATTTCTGAGTTAAAATTGTTCAAATTCTCTTTATAAAAACACATTTAATCTCAGTTTGATCAACATTCCAATAATTATTCATTAAAATAATTTGAATTTGACTGTCGGGAAGCTGCCAGATTCAACCCCATAAATGTTGAAGAAGCTCAGAAGAAATTTCAGAACATTCAAAACCTTAATCAGCAAGACCTTCAACAACTCTCAATCTTCGTCTTCTTCACCATCCAAACCATATAAATTCCCTCCATTGCCGCTTCCTCTGTCACCGTCGGAAATGTCGTCGCCGTCGCAATCATTCCGGCAATCATTACCACCCGCCGTCGCCCCCTTTCCTCAAACCCAATCCACCGTTCTTCCCGATCCTTCAAATTTCTTCGCTCCTCACCTTCTCTCCTCTCCCCTTCCCACAAATTCCTTCTTCCAGAACTTCACCGTCAAAAATGGCGATCAGCCGGAATACATTCATCCCTATCTTATTAAATCCTCCCTCTCCGAAGTTTCAATTTCATACCCATCGATGTTCTCGAACACCGCTTTCGGATATCAGGTTTTCAATGCCGATTGGACCGTCTCTGAAAATCCTGCCTCTGTTTCGCAAAAACCCCATATAATATCATCGTTTAGTGATCTCAGTCTCATTCTTGATACCCCCTCCGGTAATCTCCGATTCTTCCTCGTTCGTGGAAGCCCATTTTTTACTTTCGAGGTTTTCAACAATACCCCAATTTCAATCTCCACCATTCATGCGATTCTCTCGTTTTCATCCAATAGTTCGCTGACGAAATTCACTGTCACTCTCAACAACAACCAGACATGGCTGATTTACTCCTCGTCTCCGATCAATTTGACGCACAGCCTCTCGCAGATTACTTCCGGTGGATTCTCCGGCATCGTTAGAATTGCGGTTTTGCCGAGCCCACATTTAGAATCAATCCTCGATCGGTTCTGTTCTTGTTACCCTGTTTCAGGTGAGGTGAATTTCAGAAACCCTTCTTCTTTGGAGTACAAATGGGAGAAGAATGGTTGGGGAAACTTGTTAATGCTTGCACATCCTCTTCATCTTCGCTTACTCTCTAGCGATGATTCCGCCATTGTTCTTGATGATTTCAAGTACAAGAGTATCGACGGTGATCTAGTCGGCGTCGTTGGTGGCTCGTGGGTTTTGAAACCTGACCCTGTTTCTATAACATGGCATTCAATCAATGGCATTGGAGAGGAATTTCAAAGCGAAATTATCTCTGCGCTTGTGAAAGATGTTGAGGGTTTGAAATCTTCACCCATTACAACAACATCGTCTTATTTCTATGCGAAAGCGATTGCGAGAGCTGCTAGGCTCGCATTGATTGCTGAGGAAGTGAATTTTCTGCAGGTGATTCCTGAAGTGAGGAAGTTTTTGAAGGATGCTATTGAGCCATGGCTGCGTGGTACTTTCAATGGCAATGGATTTCTTTATGATAGTAAATGGGGTGGCCTTGTAACCCAACAAGGGGCTTCTGATTCTGGTGCTGATTTTGGATTTGGTGTCTATAATGATCACCATTATCATATTGGTTACTTTCTTTACGCCATTGCTGTGCTGGTCAAGATTGATCCAGCTTGGGGAAGAAAGTTTAGGCCTCAAGCTTACTCTTTAATGGCGGATTTCATGAACTTGAGTAGGAAATCTAGCTCAAAGTTCCCACGTTTGAGATGTTTTGACTTGTATAAACTGCACTCTTGGGCTTCGGGGTTGACCGAATTCGCCGACGGTCGGAATCAAGAGAGCAGCAGTGAGGCTGTGAATGCTTATTACTCTGCAGCTTTGTTGGGGTTGGCTTATGGAGATACTCATCTTGCTTCCATTGGATCAACACTAACAGCTTTGGAGATCAAGGCAGCTCAAACATGGTGGCAAATCAGGGGAGGGGAGAATCTTTATGAGACTGATTTCGCCAGAGAAAACAAGGTGGTTGGAGTGTTGTGGTCTAACAAAAGGGACAGTGGCTTGTGGTTTGCCCCTCCTGATTGGAGAGAATGTAGGCTTGGGATTCAGCTGCTGCCTTTGTTGCCCATCACTGAGGCTTTGTTCTCTGATGCTGCCTTTGCCAAGGAGCTTGTGGATTGGACATTGCCTTCTTTGAGAAGGGAAGGAGTTGGGGAAGGATGGAAGGGATTTGCTTACGCCTTGCAGGGCATTTACGATAAAGACGGGGCGGTGCAAAATATCCGAAACTTGAAGGGGTTCGACGACGGGAACTCGCTCTCTAATCTGTTGTGGTGGGTTCATAGTCGAGGAGGAGGAGGTGATGAGGGTGAAGGGCTTGGTGGTGGGTGGAAACATTGGTGGTTTAGCCATTGATCACTGCTACCGAACTATGATCTCGGATGATCTGAAAACTATTCTATCGAAAATCAACCTTAATCGAACGAAATCCATTTGAATACACAGTGAAAATGAAACAATCTACAGACTTATATCATCCATTTTATACACATTGATAAGTGAAACAGATAGCTGGTTTTAGGAGTTGCTGGTGCTGGATTGTGTTTGTTTTTAAATAAAATTGTTGTGCAGTTGATGTTCTTCAGCATGCTTGTGTGTCTGTGTTGCTGTTGTTGATGCCATGATGTTGTTGTTGAATGATTTGAATGGGGATTCTTTGTTCTGTTACTGTTCAGATTCTTCCCTGTCCTGTTGAGAACAAGCTTAGAACTTTTTGTTGGGAGCTCAACACTTTTGGAATATTCTGATTCTTTGTTCCAATCTTTTACCTTAAACAGGGCAGCCCAAATCTCAGGTAAAAGGGATTCTACTGGTAAGATTGCTTCTCATATTCATACCAAAAACGCATGATTATGGGTAACATTTTATACAAGTTTTAAATTTTGTAACGATGGCCTAAGTGATCGTTAGCAGAAATTATTCGTTTTGGCTTGTTACACACCTTTAGTGAGATCTCACAATCTACCTCCTTGGAGGCCCAACGCCCTCACTGGCACACCGCTCGATGTTTGCCTTTGATACCATTTGTAAGAGCTCGATTCCACCGCTGGCAGGTATTCGTATTGTCATTAACCTCACAGTTTTTTAATGTATATACTAGAGAGAGGTTTCCACACCTTTATAAGAAATGTTTCATTCCCTCTCCAATCGAGATGAGATCTCACGGCACAACATTTTTGTCATATACCTCTTCGGACGAGTGTTATAAATCTTAAGACTAGTCGGTCTGCAAATTGGAATTTATTTGGTCCACACCCCATTACTAAATCTTGACATTTATAGCTTAGTCCTTTCTATTTGTTTTTTTTTGTTCTCCAAGAATCATTTTTTTGCTCTCTTTTTTGTGTCCATTTATAATCTAAGTTTTAACCAATAAATATGTAAATAATCAAATAATTTTTTTTAATATTAATAAATTTTTTTAAAAAACTTTACTTTAAGATGGGGAATCTCAAAATTGTAAAGTTAGATCTAATAATTGAATCCCAAGTAATTCCAACTAATTTATCAAAACATTTATTAAATCTTATTTTAACGAATATTGAATCCAAATATATTATTTTGGTCAACGGTCAACGGTGATTTTTGATATTTAAATGAATATAGTCAGATTTATTGCCCATATTATATTCCTTTTGACTACTTCCACCTTTTGGCACCTTTGGTATTGTTTTTACAATTTTTTAAAGAAATAAAACTCATTTTGTTCATTAAAATGGAGCAATGCAAGAAAACTACAAATTCTCTGTGGCAGATGAACAAACCATTGCAATATTCAAATGAAAATGTTACAAGCTATGAGATCTTAGTGATAAATATTTTAAATTAACGAGTAATAATCAGTTGATTAACAAAATAAACAAGAAAACAGAGCTTAGTTGAAAGATTTTAGAACAGTGATGGATTGTTGCTTCATGAAAATTAAGTAAAAAGAGGAACCATCTTGCAAGAAAGTTTCTTTTCCGTGGATAATATGACAGATTTTGTTGGTTTGTGATAGAAAATGAATGGAAGAACAAAGAGCAAGTAGTGAAAGCAGTGATGATTGTGCTGAAAACCGTGTTTTTTTATTTGGGTTTTTTTTTTTACAAAGCTTTACTCGTTCATTTTGGCCTCTCTGCATGTGCGAGCTCAACATCGGCTCCAGCAAGTCGCACCCACGTTTTGTAAAACCGCCCCCCATTATTGTCACCAGAGGATATTTCTGGGGCTACCGAGTGGACTTCAGAGATTCCATTTTCGAGCTTCGGATTCGTTCGCAGAGGGGGATTTCATCGCTTCAGCGAGAGGTATGAGCTCTGTTCTTCAGTTTCATTCCATTTACTGATGTGGGGTTCCCGCATTTTGTGGATTTCGGCATTGGGGTTTCTCTAGTTTTGCTGAATTTGTACTGCACTTCGTTGATCTGGTAGATTTGTGGTTCGTTTTGTTTGTTCTGTTGATTTGGAAGCTTTGGGATAGGGATTTTGTTCGAATTTCTTTGATAGTTGCCTTACTGAATCAGTGTTTTTGTTGCGCATTTTTGTGAAGTTTGGGCGATTTGAATGAGATTGGTGATACATTGACTGAGATGAGCTCGTGATTGGATTTTGAGGTTTATGTGTGAATGATTTTGTAATCGGGAATGGGAAGTTTTGTGGTGAATCTTGTGATTGTTTAAGGGCTCTGTGAATTGGATTATGGCTTCTTCGCCTTCTCCGAGTGTTTCTCCTCCTGAGAATCCGTCAGATTCCGCATTTTTTTCACCTCCTTCTCCTTCTCCTCCGGCGGAATCCGCAATATCTCCGACATCTTCTGAGCCTAATCAGACCGGTGAACCTCCTTCTTCACCTTCTACTTCTTCAGCTCCACCTCCTCAATCACCACCAGCTGATGCTCCTCCTCCTTCTCCTCCACTGTCTCCTCCACCATTGACAGCATCACCACCTGTACCACCTGAATCCCCACCTCCTCCACCACCACCTTCGCCTCCTTTATCTTCGCCGTCGCCGCCACCACCTTCAACATCAACCTCTGCACCACCACCTTCAACATCAACCTCTCCTCCACCACCACCAACTTCCTCTGCATCACCACCTCCTCCAGATCAATCCACTGCCTCTCCTCCTCGTGATGCTTCACCTTCGCCTCCTGATTTAACGATGTCGCCGCCTCCACCACCTGCAGATAATTCTCCACCTCCTCAATCTAATCCTAGTCCTCCACCTTCAACTTCCTCTCCTCCTCCCCCTGACATAACTTCAGCTTCTCCACCTCCACCTTCTAAGGCCCCAACACCACCTTCACCGACGGGAGAGTCGCCTAATGTATCTCCCCCAGCCCCCAAGGTTTCTCCTCCTCCTCCTGATTCTCAATCTCCACCATCAGTTGAGGTCCCCCCACCAAGATCCTCAGTTCCATCACCTCCTCCTTCAGTCCCTTCATCATCTACTCCCCCTCCAGTTACTGTTCCTGGTTCTCCATCTAATTCATCCGCTGAAGGCCCCATTAGCCCTCCAACTTCTGGTATACCCGAACGACCGATTCCAACAATGAATGGTACTGACATCACTGTAAAGAAAGGGGGTCTCAACATCGTAACATCTGTGGCAGTTGGCAGTGTGGTTGGTGTTCTAGTGCTGAGTCTTGTTATCATGGGTATGTGGTTTGTTCTGAAACGGAAGAGAAGAAAGAAGAGTATCCCTTACACCATGCCTTCTCCTTTTTCCTCCCAAAACTCAGGTACTGTATTCGAACTCCAAATTTTGAGTGTTAACGTAACATTTCGAATGCTAACTTTTCATATTTTCTCCAGATTCAATTTTCTTAAGGCCCCATTCTTCAGCTCCCATGGCAGGCAGTCGTACCGATAGTGAATTCAAGTATTCACCATCTGAAGGAGGTGGAGTAGGTAATTCAAGATCATTTCCTTATGAAGAGCTACACCAGGCAACGAGTGGATTTTCGTCGAATAATCTTTTGGGGGAAGGTGGATTTGGTTGTGTGTACAAAGGCACCCTTGCAGATGGAAGAGAGGTAGCCGTTAAACAACTTAAAGTGGGTGGTGGTCAGGGAGAACGAGAGTTCAGAGCCGAAGTTGAGATTATTAGCCGAGTACACCATCGACATTTGGTTTCCCTGGTCGGTTACTGTATTTCTGATCATCAAAGATTGCTCGTCTATGATTATGTTCCAAACAATACCCTTCATTACCATCTGCACGGTAAGATGTTGTCATCCTTTTTGTACGCATGCAACATTTATGCAATATTATTTAGTTAATGTAGAAAGTAAGTTTATAAGTTTCTATCATGTTATCTATTTCGATTGTATTGCACTTTGGCAATGTTTCGTTTTTTTATCTCTAAATGGAAAACGTTTCCATTTCCATCGTAGCGCTTTCAATGTATTCTACATAATTTTCTGCATCGAACTATCATTTAGATACTATAAGTAATACCCTTATCCCAAAAGAGAGAAAAACAATAATACCTAAGGAAATTTTTAATTTCAGATGCGAACAGGCCGGTGTTGGCTTGGGCTACACGTGTTCGAATCGCTGCTGGTGCAGCCCGTGGAATTGCTTACCTACATGAAGATTGTAAGTTTCCCACTTTCAGCATTGGTAGTGACCCTTTGAAATTAGTTGAGGTGTGCATAATGTTCTGGTGATTCTTACCAGGCCATCCACGCATTATTCACAGGGATATTAAATCGTCTAACATTCTGCTCGATATCAACTTCGAAGCTCAGGTAATTTGCTAATGGTTAGAGAAAACCAAAGGATTTTTTCTCAAGCTGGAAGGCTTTTAATTATTGATGACAGTCATTGATTGTTTGAACTTCTTGAGGGATAACATAAGATCGTGTGGGGTGTAGTCCGATGTTTTATGTGGACTTTTAGTTATTTGTCATTTGCTTCTGATAATGTGTACTCTACCACTAACAGGTTGCAGATTTTGGGCTTGCTAAATTGGCGCTGGATTCGCATACACATGTAACGACTCGTGTAATGGGAACCTTTGGGTATGTCATCTATGAAACCAAGTTATCTACCAATCAACTCACTAAACCTAGCTACAAAATCAAACATGCAAAAACGCCCATTTCAACGTCAAAATGGCCAAACCCAACATTGCTCCCTAGTAGACGCGTTTTAAAACTGTGAGGCTAACAGAGTTACGTAATAGGCCAAAACAGACAATATTTATAACAGTTGCAGATACTGTCTGCTTTGACCCATTTCGTATCGCTGTTAGCCTCACGGTTTTTAAAGCGCGTCTACTAGGGAGAGGTTTCCACACCCTTATAAGGAATGGTTCGTTCCCCTCTCCAACCGATGTGGGATCTCAAAATCTACCCCCCTTGGGAGCCCAACGTCCTAGCTGGCACACCGTTTGGTGCATGACTCTGATCCTATTTGTAACTGCCCAAGCCCACTGCTAGCAAATATTGTTCGCTTTGGCCTGTTACGTATCGCCGTCAGCCTCACGGTTTTTAAAACACGTTTACTATGGAGATATTTTCACACCCTTATAAAGAATGGTCTGTTCCCTCTCCAACCGACGTGGGATCTCACAATATCTGCTAACGGTGGACTTAGACTGTGACAAATGATATTATAGCCAAGCATTGGGCGATGTGCTAGCGAGAACGCTGGGTCTCTAAGGGGGTGGATTGTGAGATCCCATTGGTTGAAGAGGGGAATGAAGCATTCCTTGTAAGGGTGTGGAAACCTCTCCCTAGCAGACGCGTTTTAAAACCGTGAGACTAACGGCGATACGTAATGGGCCAAAGCAAACAATACGTGTTAGCTGTGAACTTGGACTGTTACAAAAAGAAACACACATTTCATTAAACAAAAGAAAAGCATGGTGGTTTTCTGGTTTTTTTACTTCAGGAATTGCAAATGGCCTGTTCAGTTCGTGTTCTTGTTTCTGTATCGACTATACGTAAAAATTTCTGTTTGTAATCTTCAGATACATGGCTCCAGAATACGCAACAAGTGGAAAATTGACAGACAAATCTGATGTTTTCTCTTTTGGGGTTGTACTTTTGGAGTTAATTACCGGTCGCAAGCCTGTAGATTCTTCTCAGCCTTTAGGGGACGAGAGCTTAGTCGAATGGGTAAGCCTTCTCTATCTTAACTTCTTTCTTGCCATATAACCAGGCAAGACACTAACCTCCATTAAAACTTCAGGCTCGACCGTTGCTAGCACAAGCTATCGAGGACGAGAATTTTGAAGAACTGGTGGATCCAAGGCTAGAGAACAGTTACGTTGACAGAGAAATGTTTCGGATGATCGAAGCAGCCGCTGCTTGCGTTCGCCATTCGGGAGTAAAGAGGCCAAGAATGAGTCAGGTTAGTATCTCCATATGATACATAAAAGTTTGAACCAAATGTAGAAGCATCAGACGAAACGTTATGATATGATATCAGGTGGTGAGAGCTCTAGACTCATTGGATGAAATGTCTGATCTCGCAAATGGGGTGAAGCCTGGACAAAGTGGAGTGTTTGATTCAGCTGAACATTCTGCTCAGATCAGAATGTTTCAAAGAATGGCTTTTGGGAGTCAAGATTACAGTTATGGTTACTCGGATCGAGATCGAAGTCGGAGTTACAGTCAAACTCCGAGTAGCTGGAGTAGAGAATCCAGAGATCAAAGCCCCTCGGCACCTATGAATCGATCCCGACAATGGAACATCTGAATTTGGAGGTGGAATCAGGTTCAATTCCTTGTAAATCTCTGCTCAAATTTTCCCATTACAATTTTATTCTGTTAATGTGCTCCTCTCTCTGGTAACAAGGTTTTGACATGATAAAAGCTTGGTATTTTGAGGAGTAACTGTACTATTCTTTGTACACTACTTACTATTCTTTGTGGCAAGTAATTGAATTTTGAAGCCTATGAATTTACTTGCCCATATCTTCCTTCATTTTTTTTGTATTTTCAAGGGTGGAGAGATTTTAGTCTCGGATAAAAATAATAATAATAATTTTTTTTTTATGGACTAATGTTCTTAGATGTGTCCGTTTTTTTATAAAAATGTGAAAACTTTTCTACAATGCATTTTAAAATCGTGAAGCTGACAGAGATACGTAAAAGATCAAAACGGACAATATTTATTAGGGATGAGTTTAGACTCCTACCAATACATTTTGTTATGATTAGATATTTTTTCAATTTTTTGATTTGGTTTGTTCCATTGATTTATTCAATTTTTTAAATTAAGTAAAATATTAGTCGGTGAAATATCTATTTATTTATTTTAAAAAATTTAACTAAAATTTGCACAGTATATATAATTAAAAGTTATTTTTAATAGTTAAAAAAATAAATTATGAAATTAAATAAATATATGTATAATAATTTAAGGGTAAGAAAAAATTTATATTTTAAAATTAGTTCGTTCAACTCAACTAAATTAGATTAATTCATAATCTAATCCAAATTCAAATAAATTTATAATCTAATCCAAATTAGTTTTAAAGTTAATCACGAAGAATTAGATATTTCTATGACTAAAACGACACCGTTTCTTCAGCCAATGAGACAAAGAGAATGAGAGAGAATCTTACACTTCCTTCCTGGTAAACGTGGTTCACAAGTTGAGAGTAAATCGTCACATAATTTCTCTCTACTTTCTCGCTGGGAGAAATATTGTTTCCACAAAAGAACTGAAATCATCCAGATAGTGAAGGGGAGAGAGAGCTCAGAATGGGAGAAGAACGAGCGGATTCACAGAGGCTGAAGAGAGCAGCAGCGGCAGCTTACGACTACGAGAACGATCCCAGATGGGCTGATTACTGGTCTAACGTTCTGATCCCTCCTCACATGTCTTCCCGCCCCGATGTTGTTGACCACTACAAACGCAAGTTCTACCAGCGCTACATCGTGGGTTCTCTCCCTTTTGACTGTTCTTCATTTGGGTATCGCTATTTCTTCAATTTACACTCCGTACTGTGGATTCATTTAACCAAGTTGTTATCGATTATTAGGCGTCGGGTTGCAAGTTTTTGTTGCTTTCGAATTTATGCCATTTGATCCTTGCTAATATATCCGTTGTGGAGTGTTGTCTCTTATGAATTTTGAGATTTTATGTGGATCTTTGGATGTTACTGGAGTTGAGAGAGGATTTACAAGTCATTTAGTTCAAATTTTAAAATGATTTTGTTTAAGCTGAAAATTGGGGCATTTGTTTAATTCCTCTTTCATAGAATTTGTGCTCTTTGGTGACTGCTGAAATTGAATTGCCTTCTTGCACTTGTTTTTAAATTTACTTTGTGCTTCTTTTCCTTGCTTGGTTGCCAAACAGGACCCTGAATTCGTGGTAGAGGCCATGTCTTCTAGTAGTTCTACTCAGTCATCCCGACCTTCAGCAACATCTTCTGCAGTACCCCCTCCTACTAATGATCGAAGCCAACCGCGAAGTTCAGGTAGAAGTTTTGTTTTTATATTTTTGTAGTGTTAGAGATTAAGTTGTAGAAATTTTTGAATGTGAATGTTGAATCTACCTGATTGGATTTCTATAATGAATCGCGATGCAGGATCAACGACTCGGACTTCAGGTACATCTGCAAGTGCAGATCCTAATCCAACCCCGTTACGCTGGGATCGACAAACAATCCAGTTTTCTGTCAACGCATGGGTAGGGTTAGTTTAGTTCCTGCTTGCTTGCATGATCTTGCGAAATTAGTAGAACCGCAGAATGTTAGAGGGCTACACACACAAAGTTGTTATTTATGTAATTTTGTTTTTTTCCTTGAACTCGAGTTGCTGGTTTTATGAAAGCTTAACTTTTAGTTACAAAGATTTCATTTCATCAGTTCCAACAGATGAAATGTAATTCTTAAAAGTTTTGTTGAGAAAAGCTTGTTCATACAATCATTCCTTATTTATATCTTAAATGTTTTTCTTTCCTTCTCTTTGTGGAGCTATCCCCATCATAACTTAAACTTTCCAATGCCCTTGAAGAGGTATTAAGGGTATTTTCATTAAAATCTATTGCTTGTCTTTGGTATTGTCTCTGAGTAGTTATGGATCTTTCTGTTCTGCTTCCATCATTAAAAGTTAATATTTTGTCCTGCAGGTGTTCATTGTGGCAGTGCTGGCAATTTTCCCCCTAATTCCCAAAAATCTTTCACAGAGGGCATATAGGCTTTCTTTTATGGGCACAGCTTGTTCTTCTTTATATTCTTTGTACTCATTGTATGGGGTAAGTTATCCATTCGAATTTAACGGCCCCATTCCGGTTCTATGAAGATGTTTGGTTTCTTATTCAGAAAAAGAAAGGAAAAAAAAAAAAAAAAACTGCCCCTTTTCGTTCATGCCAGTTTATCTATATTATCTTTTATTTAAGTTATTAGTCTTTTAATATTTGCAGAAGCCCAGGGCATGGAATTTGCAATCATTGCAAGCTTATTTCCAGTCCATAATTGCAACAAAAGATTTCATTTCCTTCACTTACTGTATCACCTTTGTGACTTCAAATATTTGTCTCAAATGTAAGCATAGCTTCACTAATCAAGTTTTGTTTACTTATTTATCTCTACAGTGTCACTGAATATCTATTCAGTCATGTAGTTTTTTATCTTTTTCATTATGCGTGGTAAGATTTCTAATTTTTTTAATTGTTTATGCAGTTGCTTTAATTCCTATCCTGTGTCGGGCTGTTGAACATGTTGCAAAGTTTCTTAGGCGTAATTTTGCACGTTCGTCCTTATACAGGTAGCATGTTATCAGTTTTTGGTTCGATTTATCATTTATTTGTTGTATGAAATATGTCCACTTGAATTTTGATTATGATGTCTCCACCCCCAAGAAAAAAGTATCCTAGTCTTTGTGCTTTCAATCTAGATTGTTTGTATTTTTTATTTTTACTTTTCCATCGTTGTTTGTTGTGCCCAGAGAAGGATATACTGCTTCATGAACACAGATTTCAGTATAGTTGTTTGCCCCTTAATTTTACTGATACGTTATGAAATTAGTGGCTTTTAATTCTGAAAAATGTCTGCAAAAAACTTTTGCTGAAGGATCATATTAAATAAGCAGTAGAAACGAAGCGATATATTGTAACAACCCAAGTCCACCGCTAGCAGATATTGTTCGCTTGGCCCGTTACGTACCGTCAACCGCACTATTTTAAAACGCGTCTGCTATGGAGAGATTTCTATGCCCTTACAAGGAATTCTTCATTCCCCCCTCTAACCGATGTGTGATCTCACAATCTACCCCCTTGGGGTCCAACGTCTTTGTTGGCACACCGTCCGGTGACCGACTCTGATACCATTTGTAACAGTCCAAGTGCACCGCTAGCAAATATTGTCTTCTTTGGGTTTTCTCTTCAAAGGCCTCCTTCAAAGTTTTAAAACACGTCTGTTAGGGAGAGATTTCCACACCCTTATAAGAAATGCTTCGTTCCTCTCTCCAACCGATGTAGGATCTCACATGTACATACAACCAAGAGAGAATAAACGAATTGAAATTCCTTTGATTGAAATTTGTAAGGTGTATATTATTGATTCTAGCATAACACGTTTTTTAGGGAATTAATGAGTGTTCAAAAACAAAGGAGAATTCAAGTGGTGTGGTTTCCTGTCTCCATGCATGAAGTATAGATTAATGTGTAATACCTCTTAGTTTTCTCATGTTCTTAAAATCTGCTTGTTAACTTTATTTATCATTCAAGTTCATGACAATAACAAATCAAGTTGTCCCTGCAAGTATCTCATGGTTTTATGCTTTCTATAAATTGTTGCAGGAAATATATGGAAGAGCCTTGCGTATGGGTGGAGTCAAATTCCACTACTCTTAGCATCCTATCTTCGCAGGCTGAGATTGGACTTGGATTCATTTTAATCATCTCTTTGCTCTCGTCAGTTTTTATCCCTTAGATCATCTTCTTTGCCTTTTTTGCTCCTCCACTTTCTAATACTCCTTTCTTTTCAATGATCTTTTCAAACTCGTGTTCTGCAGGTGGCAACGTAACTTCTTACATACATTCATGTACTGGCAGGTGTGTTTTTCTTGTTATCATTTGCATGAATAGCATATTTAGGAACACGTGATTCTGCCTTAAAAGTTACAAATCCTTTACCTATTTCACATTTTTATGTCAATGTTTAAAACTTGTTAGAGGATTGTTGGGAGGGAGTCCCAATAGGAATGATTGTGGGTTTATAAGTAAGGAATACATCTTCATTGGTATAAGGTTTTTTGGAAAAGTCCAAAGAAAAGCTGTGAGAGCTTATGCTCAAAGTGGACAATATCATACCATTGTGGAGAGTCGTGATTTCTAACAAAACTTCCATTCACAACCATAGTTTTTTGAAATCATTATCTCAAGAACACATGGTCTTTTTTTTTTTATGTCACAAGTCATGAATAGGCTCTTCTTTGAGGGCGTTTCTCTTGTTGAAACTTGTTTTTCTGGTAATTCACTTTTTTTTTGTCGTGAACCATTTCGAAACGCAGCTGCTAAAGCTCATGTATCATGCTCCTGTCACTTCTGGGTATCATCGAAGTGCCTGGGCCAACATTGCGAGTATCATTTCTCCGCTGATCTACCGCTATACTCCGTTCCTTAATACTCCTCTTTCAATGGCGCAAAGATGGTGGTTCAGGTAGAAGCTAATAATAGAGGAAGAAGATGTATCAAAATTTATAGACTAATCCCAGTAGTGACTGTCCTCCCACTTTTTGAAGCTGAAAATTGGTGTCACCATGTCTTGAAAAGCAACTTCTTAGATTCTCACTTGGGTCTGTGGAACAAGTTTGGCTTCCAAATTCAACTCTTCTTTTGTTCTTTGTTTTCACTATTGATAAAATACACCTTAGGAGATTATGTTTGAAATGTGAATTAAAGTTTTCTTTGTTATGACTTTTTAAACGTTAATTGTGAGATCCCACGTTGGTTGGAGTCGGAGTTGGAGAGGGGAACAAAACATTCCTTATAAGGGTGTGGACACCTCTCTTTAGCAAACGCACTTTTAAAATCGTGAGACTGATAACGATACGTAACAGGCTAAGACAGACAATATCTACTAATAGTGAACTTTAACTATTACATTTATATTTATATTAGTTATCATTTTGGTGTTTTGTTCTTTTTATAATTTGGAGTTTAATTCGTCTTGCATGAAAAATAAACGTATTTTATTATTTTATTTTTCAATACTATATAGAAAGATAAATATTAATATTGGAAAAGAAAATTTTAATAAATTAGAGTTTATAAAATATGAGTTAGTGTAGCATATGTTTGATTTTTTACTATATTATATATAAAAACGTTATATAATACTATATACTTTTATTTAGTAGAGAATGTAAGTTTGTCCCTAAGTTTATATTCGTAGAGCACACTATACCAAATTTAATATAAATAAAAAAATTGATAATTAGTGAGTGAATTAGAAAAAAATTGAATATAAAATATAATTAACTTGGGAACAATTTGGACAATTTGAGAGTTAAAATGGATTTTATTTATAAAGAAAAAAGGGAAAAAGATCTGAATCGTACGGCCAGAACTCATCCATTTACTACGCCGCCCGGATCAATTGATCTGTCCTCGCTCGTCGTCATGGTCTGGCGGATCTTTTCCAATTTCCGGCTCCGGCAGATCTCTCTTGCAATCGCTTTACCTTCTTCCGCTTATCTTTTTCCAATTCAGGGTCCGAATTCTACTGACCCACTCAGGTACCTTTTCCAGAACCCTAATTTCTATCTTACTCCTCTTACCATTAGTTTCTTCTTATTTGGTTGATTACCACGTAGGCTGAACTAAACTGGAATGTGCTCGAATTATGGATATTTTGAGCCTGTTTACAAAGTCCCGTTTGACTATTGAGTCTGAATTTGCTTTTCTCAATGCATAGTTTAAATAATGTTTTGTTTGTTTTTTTTTTCGAAAATTTTAAATTTGAAGAGTTGCTTGGTGCTTACAAATGATTTCCTGGTAATTTTAGTAGCTGTACTTGCCTCTAATGCGACGCTGGCTCATTTATATTTGCTGCCAAATTTTCGGCTTCCGTTTTCATAATTTGCATCTAATTGCCATTGGATTGGTGTTTTGATGTTGCTGATACAGTACGTTGAAGCCTTGCGTAATAATTTATGATAAAGGAACTTGGAAAAAAGTGCTAATTACAAGAAATTAAAGAAGTTCAAATGTCCACCCCAAATTTATTGTACTGAAAAATACATTAACGTCCACTTGATGATGCTGTTTTAGTTTTACAACTTGGATATGTATTTTTCTTCATATTCAGAATTTCTAGACGGCAGTTCCTTGGATTAGTACTAACCCTACAATGTTATGCAATGAAGTCGCTTGTAGATGGTTAATATCCTAAAGGTGGGCCTCTAGGGGAATTTGAAACCGGGTCCTAGATATGTTCCATGATTCTTACATTTAAAGCTTGAGATTACTTTGAAATTATTGGATTCTAAGTCTGACAGTGATATTATTCAAATTGTATGTAATTAATTAAGTTCCTAGTCTACTTTTACCTGAAGCGTTCTTAGTGTTGTTATGGCGTTAACACGTGCCATTGCTACCTTTTATTGATAGGTGATTTGCGCCTGGGATTCAGTTTCTTCCTGCTGATTAAATCTACAGTTACCAAGTTAACTATTTGCTACAGAATTGTCCATTGTATCTCCATTTATGGGTACTGAGGATTTCATTGGACTGCCAGCTTCTGGTGATTCTGGTAATGATGACGAGAGTAATGAGTCTCTTAGTTGTAATGAAACAAGAGAAGCTTATTCTCAATCAAGTATTTTGAAGTGCAAGGACGATGATGCAAGCATAAAGAGGGTTGAGCTTGAGGATGGACAGTTTGAAGATATGCATTGCATACCTCAATCTGACCTTAATGATGAAACACAACGTTCTGATTCGGATATGGAAATTGAGGATTTGAATAACCTCCCAGATTTTAGTAATACTAGAAGTAGAAATGGGAATAATACAATACGGACTGAAGCAGAATACCTGTCAGTCAACTCTGCAGATGAGAGCATACAACCAAGCAGAGAGCTCTTGCAGCAGAATGAACTTCGACAGAGATATGGAGATGTTTATGATGCTGAAAGTAGAAATTTTGAAAAGGATTTAGTTGGTAATTCATCCTTCTTGAAAACTGGTGGTCAATTGGCTGTAACCAACAGAGTTTCAATTGAGTTCAATGGATTTAACTCTGGAGTGCCCGTTGAGAATGGTTCGTCTCCATCCCATCTTGGAGGCCCCAGTAAGATTCACAAGAGTGGTGGTAGTTGGGTTTTTTATTCTGAATCTTTCTCCTTTCGTGATTTACTTCAAAAAATTGATCCATAGCCTTATATAAATCTGTGTGTGTATATATATTATCCTTTTAAGGCATATCCCCCTCCTATTCTAATTTTCTATAATTTACAAGGTTTTAATTGTGTTACTAAGAGTTATTTTTCTATTTATCCAGCAATATCAGGTGTGAAAAGACCAAGGACAGCCATGGATGAGCAACAGCCTTCAGTGCACATCGTGTATAATTCTTTAACAAGGTTGGCTGTGTAACTGGTGCTGCAAAATGAGTCTATTTATTCTATTTAATAAAAAGTAATATTTTGTTATAATTAAGAAACATTTATCCGTGCCAAAAAGGGTAAAACATGGTGATATTGATTGCATTAGGATTTTAAGGGATTAGAGTGCTCCCAGTGGTACTGAGTAGAGAACTATCATCATTTGAATTTGTACATCCGAATAACTGATCAGTAGTGAGATGAAGCAATTTTCTGAAATTGATTTGTCATCGAAGCCCATATAAATTTTAAATTGTCATTGAACATTGTTCTCCTATTTGGCAATTCACATCCCCCTAAAAATGTTTCTTCATTTCCTTCAAAATGTCCGATTGTAATACTTATTTTATCTTTTTTTTTTTTATATTAATCCTGTTGTAGCTGATTTTCTTATTAAAAAAAATTCAAATGTAATGTTGGTCAAACAACTTTTAGATAAATACTTTCAGCAACATAATTTTTAAATTTCTAACTAGATTCATTTTCTCATTTCCAGAGCTAGTAAACAAAAGCTCGAGGAATTATTAAAGCAGTGGTCTGAGTGGCATGCTCAACAAGGTTTTCTATGCCAAGTAAGCCTCATCCATCAGTGCTGCTTGCTTTGCAGCTAATTTCTCTGATTTATTGTTCAAGATGTAGTTATATACAATCTTGTGGAATTTAGAATTAACTATTTTCTATCTAATTTTGTTGAATAGTTAAATAGAGGCTTACCCATCTGTACATAAGTGTTTTTCTGTGTATGCTTTTTCTTCACAATTGATATTTTCTAAATTTAAAGTTCACCATCTTGAGTTATTGTTCCTGTTTCAACTTTCTTAAAATGAGGCTCTTAGTCTGACTTTGAATGAAGAAGCAAGCAAGCCTCCAACGGTTGGCTAATGGTCAAATGGTAAGCTATAGGTTGATGAGGTGGTTATCCTCTAAAATAAATGAAATCCCCTTTGCAGTGTGACTTACAACTAGTCAACCTGAATGATGTGTATGGGTTTGTCTACACCATGTAAGTTCATATGAAGATTAACAAGTGTTGAGGAGTAAAACACTAGAGCTCAGTGAATCTATAATTCTAGTGTACTAATAAGTTTATGGAAAGCATGCTAAAGTTTTTCCAAGGATTTAGCCGAGTCTAGGAAGGGCTGGTTTCTTGACTGCCTGGGTGCTTGTAAAATAATCTTCCTAGTTAATTTGAATGAAAGTGATCTTATGAGAGTATTCATTGTGGACTCTAGTGTGTAGCCGAGTCTAGGAAGGACCGGTTTCTTGACCGGCTGGAGGATCGTAAAATAAACTGCCATGTTAGTTTGAACGAAAGTGATATTATGAGTGTTTATTGTGGACAAAATTCTTGAGTGTGATGTCTGAAGACCTATATGTGCTGTTTAGTGCAATGTATGAATTAAACGTCTGGGGTGAATTAGATTCTACAAAGGTAATCTCTCGTATTTCTAAACCTTATCATCTAGGGTGATCTGCTCTCTTCTGAAATCCATTTTCTTCTTTTTAACATTTCGTGGAAAATCTGTATTAAGTCCTTTTAGTTGGTAAAAATTATATATATATATATATATATATATTTTTTTTTTTTTTCATTGGATGAGTATTTTGGCTTTTTGTCTGTTTTTGGTGGGGAGGTGGAGTAATTAATTGAATTTGTTTTTTTCTCTGCTCAGGATGATAAAGAATCTGAAAATCTAGAATCTGGAGAAGAGACATTTTTTCCTGCTCTATTTGTTGGCACAAAGAAGATTTCATCAGTGGTGACTATCCTGTCCTTTCGTCCATAATCGTTTATATTTGAAATTGTTGACCTATGTTTATATCACTTTTGAATGGCGATTCTATTTTTGGGTTTAGTTAGCAGCTATTATTTTAGGCATTGGATCATTGTTTCCTGTTCTTTTACTTAGCAGCTATTATTGTAGGCATTGGATCATTGTTTCCTGTTCTTTTACTTCCTTCTATTTATATCTTTTGTGCTAAGTCTTAACTTGAGAGGAAAAGTTACAATCTGGCCTTCCCTTTGTCATTCTTGAAACATTCTTATTTTATGTTTGTTTGACCACAGACCATCGTGTTTGAACAATTGAATTGCTGGTAGTAATCAATAGATATATGTTTGACAAACTCACTAGTTGACTTGCTTTTAGTAACATGTGAGCTGGGCGTGGAAACAAAGAAACTGATAACTTTGTGGATACACAATATGGGAATATGTTGACAAACTTTCTTTTTGCTCATCTTATTATTCTTCATTCAGTTTGACACTTGAGGCAAAAACTAAATATATTTTGCAAATTGG